TTTTCGAGTTGAGGAAATGAGGCAAAATTTAATGCCAGAACGTCACGTGTAGCACGTGCATCGTTGGCTTCCATCAAGTATGCGTATGTCAACGCCAACTCAGAATTTTTTGACAACCTGGCATGCCAACTTGGAACCTCACGAGCGGGAAGTTTACCTGTTGCCATTTTTTTGTGGGTCCCACCGCAGACCAAAGGTTTGAAAAAAAAGGTTAAATCCCCGATTCAGTCCCTCAACTTTCATTTTTGAACTAAATTTACCTTTGAACTTAAAAAAGTACTAAAAAAATCTTTCCTTTAATAAATAAAAATTTCTTTTTCTTCTTTTTTCTTTCTTTTCCTTTTTTTTTTTTCTCCTTCTCTTTCCTTTTCTCCTTCCCCTCCCTATTGGGTTCGAAGGAACACAGCACCAGCGCCTGGGTTCCTCGAACCCAAGCGCGGGTTCCTCGAACCCAGGTGTTGGGTTCCTTCGAAGGAACCCAGGGCCTGGGTTCAGGGAACCAGGCGAACCCAACACGCCTGGGTTCGATGGAACCCAGGCGTGGGTTCCTCGAACCCAAGTGCTGGGTTCCTTCGAAGGAACCCAGGGCCTGGGTTCAGGGAACCAGGCGAACCCAGCACGCCTGGGTTCGATGGAACCCAGGCGCGGGTTCCTCGAACCCAGGGCCTGGGTTTGAGTCGAAGGGTAAATTTTTCTTATCTAGTTTATCTATTTGAAACCAAGTATGAGTGCATGTGCATCTCTTGGATGCTGGAGGGAATAACATCTTTAAACATTCAGGAAGAGCTTTGGAAGATTTGCGAGCTTCTATATTTAACAAATTCCATCATTTGCCTTTCTCTCTCTTTTTTTCCTTTCATTTCAATTACTATGATACTTCTTCTATGTTGATCCACCACATTCGCTATTTGCCTCATTGTATCTGCATCTGCATCTTATTCAGTTTTCTTCTGATCTACTTCATTTCCCATTTTTCGTTTCTTAAAATTATATACCCTCAACCTCAAGCTTGCATACCCATCAAATCTCTACTTCCATGAGACAAATCTGATCTTTCTACCATCTTTCAATGGTATGGATTGAACTCTAGTCAACAAAGCAAAAGTGGGTTTTTGTTTTCTCCTTCTAAAAACCAAGAAAAATTGTTTCTTTCTTGGATTTCCTTTCTTTATTTTATTGACATAGTAAAAATCTAACCTTGAAAGCTGTAATGGGTTAATGGGGATTGCAAGTGATTTACATTCTCTCTTCTTTTGTATAGGAAAAACTCCCAAGAGAAGATCAGGATGCTCAGTTTGAAAGTTCAAGACTCATAGAGCAAGATGGCCTTGTTAGGCTTGCCAAGACTCATAGATCAGGAACCCAGGCGCTGGTGCTGGGTTCCTTCAAACCCAGTAGAGAGGGGAAGGAGAAAAGGAAAGTGAAGGAGAAAAAAAATGGAAAGGAAAGAAAAAAGAAAAAAAAAAGAAATTTTTATTTATTAAAGGAAAGAGTTTTTTAGTACTTTTTTAAGTTCGAAGGTAAATTTAGTTCAAAAATGAAAGTTGAGGGACTGAATCGGGGATTTAAACTTTTTTTTAAACCTTTGGTCTACGGTGGGACCCACAAAAAAATTGGCAACAAGTAAACTTCTCGCTCGTGAGGTTCCAAGTTGGCATGCCAGGTTGTCAAAAAATTCTAAGTTGGCACTGACATGCGCATACTTGACGGAAGCCAACGGTGCACGTGCTACACGTGACGTTCCGGCGTTAAATTTTGCCTCATTTCCTCAACTCGAAAACATTGAGGGTAAAAATTCATGTATTGTAATATGGAGGGCAAAAACCTTAAAAGTCGAAAAGTTAAGGGACAAAATGGTACCTTTTGCCGGTGGATCACAATTATACCCGATGACCCTGCGTTCCGACAATAATGGAGCGGAGCTCGACGTTCGAGAGAAAAAAAAGTGGTGCTCCTCAAATGAAGGAAGCGCATGCATTAGTTTACGGACGAGATCTGTGTGCCTCTCTTTATGTCACTTTGACCGTACACGTGTCCTCTGTGCTTTTCCCACAGTTATGAGTCTTATGACACGACAGGCCACGCCATTGTTTTGCTGCTACCTGGAGTCATCTTGTTGCTCGAGTCATCGAGCTTCTCGAGATTCCCGTGATATTTTTGAAGCTGCTTTTATTGCCCTTTTTTTAATTGTAGACGAAACTTTTAAATTCGTCTCTTAATAAAGAAAATAGAAATAAATTTATTTTTTTTAAATATAAAAATAAATTATTTTTTAAATTATCAAACAAAATTTGTAACTTTCACTATAGAATTTTTTTAGGTTAACGTTACGTACCTTACTTTCTAAATTTTTTCTAAAAAATTTTTTAAAATGACATAATTTTAATAAAATATTATAAAAAACATAAAAACACTTTAATTTATGATTTAAAGATAATATATTTTAATTTTTTAATAAAAATTTATAAAAATAATATAATTTTAAAATAAATTTTTTTTAATATTTAAAAAATAAAATGGATAGATACCATTTTATCTTTTTCTTTAATTTTTAAGTTCTCTTTTGGGGCCGTTGGTTTGCTAGAGTTTGTTCCCTTCGGTTGGTGTTTGGTTGTTAAGAAATCTGGAGAAAGAACCTAGATAGTGAGGCCCCGAATAGAGTTAGCATAACCCTGAAACCTACTGAGAAAAAGGTTTTACGCAAACAGCATTAGAAAACTTTTCTTCACCAGTAAACTCTAGCCAACGTAATTTGACTCTTTTTTTCCTTTTTTGAACTTCGAAAAATTTTGAGGAGGTTAGTAGTGCCTAGGTAGGGGGTATTTAAATTTATTATTTAAAAATATAATATTTTAATTTTTTTAATAAAAATTTATTAAAAAATAATATAATTTTAAAATAA